TCGTGGTCGTGTTGATCCCGTCGGCGCCAGATGGTCGTACTCATAATCAGAAATTTGATGTGTTTTTGAAAGAGACAATAGGTATTTGCTAAGTTTAGTGTCGATGTTTTCTGTATGGTCATATACATCGCACGGTCCGAGTCTGCAGAATTTTGTCTTATCCTCTAGTATGACCATCATCTTGGTTTGGTAGTCCTCCCTTGACATAATAACCGTTGCCCTACCCTTGTCCGGGCGGGAGATAATGATATCCGGATTTGTTCGGAGCTCCCTCATGACTTTGAGGTGCTCTCGTGTGAGTGAAAAAGACCGGGTGTCAGGAGAGGACTGCGCAAACCTGTGTGCCTCGGCAGCCAGAGACGCCCGGCAAGCCGCTGCTGTTTCGTCAGATTTTGCTGGTACCTTGGACAATTGCTGCTGGAGCAGCTCAAATTCCGCCAACATCTCCAATCGGTGGAGTTTAGGAGGAATGCCAAAATCTAAACCGCCACACAGCACGTCCTTTTGTAGTTGAGTCAAAGGGATATCGGCAAGATTAATAATAGTATCATAATTGTCGCTACATGTGCCGAATCGGTCCTTTCTCAAGGCAGACACAATCCAAACGTGTTATTATTATTATTATTATTTAAATAGGCGTCGAGGCGACAATAGTTTGAGAATTGCGATCAACAGAACGAGCTGTACCGACATTTCACAAAGGCTTTTATTGTATTCTCACTCCATTTCTCTTTATTAGTATCTTTCTGGATTGTTTTTCATTAGTACAACGTAGCTTCCTGAGGAGTGTTGTGCGAAAACTAGTTCGAAGTACGATTTTTTGTTCATCATTTTCTCCAATTCACATGTTTTCTTTCTTCCATGTTCTAACTTCTTCACTGCCTTCGTATCCACTCGTTTTTTGAATACAATAAAAGCCTTTGTGAAATGTCGGTTCAGCTCGTTCTGTTGATCGCAATTCTAAAATTATTATTATTATTATTATCCTGTCACGCCCATAACTAGCTTGGATAGAATTTAGCCAGGCTTTGTGTCCCATGACCAGATGACGTCTTCAGCCTGGTGTGTGTGTGTGTGTGTGTGTGTGTGTGTGTGTGTGTGTGTGTGTGTGTGTGTGTGTGTGTGTGTGTGTGTGTGTGTGTGTGTGTGTGTGTGTGTGTGTGTGTGTGTGTGTGTGTGCAGAGTTGAGCTTGCCGGTCAGTCCAGACCCCAGAGATGTAAAGTCGGGAATCTTCAAATGCCGGCATTTGAAGATTCTCTCCTGTAGATCGAGTTAAACAATTTCCTGGGACAGGAATGCATGCAAACAAGAGTGCATAAACAATTTGTTTATGCATGCAAACAAGAGTGCATAAACAATTTGTTTATGCATGCAAACAAGAGTGCATAAACAATTTGTTTATGCACTTTTGATGCAAATGCTTACCACATTTGGCCACAAGTCGGGTGATTCACAACCAACCAGCCGTACCCAAGCCGAAATCTATCGGCGGATCAAAGAGTATAATTATTATACCCCCCTGGGGTTTATATGTAGGACTCAGTGAGCAGTCACGTCTCGATGACCGATCACGATCCCCGTGACCAATCAAACAGTCACAAATCCCCGAAGAGCAGTCATAAAGTCACACACCAGTTTGGATCCCGATGACCAGTCACAAACAGCCGCGACTTTCTCTGTGAACGGTCACAGGGTCCACGTCAAAATATTACGACTCACCTGTAGGCATTCACGCGATCAGCATACTTTTTTCCTTCACAGGTTTCAGAAGTGAGCAAGAAAGATTTCGGTCAACTCTCGATCTCCGCGTAGTTTACTTGTAGCTCGAGTCTGGTGTGTGTGGGCTCCTCTCCAAAACGAAGGGTGGTCGAAAACCTTGCAGGCTTCAGATAGAATCTCTTTTGAGAGGACGTTCTGGCTAGTAGATTGTGCTATTCATCATATTTGAAGAACAAACTTCGTCGTTCAGAAAAGCTATTTCGGAATATTTTCAGTCAAGTACTTTTTTGAATGCCGATCTTGCTAGAACGGAGACTGATTTCAACTGATCCAGCATACAAGCAGCACTCGCTTTGTGTTTTTGGAGAGGATGGGTGACAAGATTACAGAGTCAGAAGTGGACATCGTCGACGATACAGAGACGAAAATATAATGAAGATGGAAAAGAAAATATGTTCATCTCCAAGAAGGTACTGAGTACACCAAGCACCTTCGTGTGTGTAGCTCTGTCTTTCTTGTGGAAGACTCCACAGGAAAACAATGTCCAGCTTGTTGAAACTGAAACTGCCTCTCAGTTGAAGTCGTTCAGGGAAGACATCTATTCAAGACATCATTGATCCATTCTCAAGAACCATCGTAAGAAATTAAAATCAAGTCATGTTAGCGATAATAATGGCGAACTAGACCAGAGAAGTGTGAGTGTCTTGTTTTGACTGCAGGAAACTGTATTTCAATATTGTGGCTCAACGTAGTGCTTACGCAGTTTACTGCTTCGAACACATCTTCATTCCTACTCCCAAAATATCTCTGTAAAACTTATTGGTGTAACATTATGGCACATGTACAGTCATGGTCTTTCTCGTTGTGCTGCTATAACGTGTATTATAAGTACATGCATACGAGTACTGTGTACCGTTTACTGTCTCTATGTTAGTGTTTTTGGGCGATCCTCCACACCTTAATTAATTTTGTCCATTACGTATTTTCCTTCTACTTATTAACTTTATAGAAATATTCCCTCACTACAACTTCTTGTGATTACTAGTGCGAATGTACCCTGCGATGCCTGCTTGTTAGTGAGAGTGCACCAGACATGTATCGATATGTATGTCTGACGAGATGTTCTTGAACTGGCATATCAGTATCACCAAGAGTACGGTTCTTCCGCCTAGGCATCTCTTCTTGGCTTGTGGATTGTTTGAAAAGAGATAAAATAATTATACAGAAATACTTGTGTCCAAGTGTCGTCATGAAAACAAGTTCTACCTCCGTAACTTTGTCCGCAAGGTCACGTGAATCTAGCTGGTAGTCCCGCTGCCAATTTGTGTGTGTGTTTGTGTGAGTGTGTGTGTGTGTGAGTAAGTGTGCGCGTGCATGTGTGAGTTTGTGTGCATGCGTGAGAAAGAGAGTGCGTGTGTGTGTGTGTGAGAGAGAGAGAGAGAGAGAGAGCATGTGTGTGTTTGTGTGTGTGAGAGATTTAGAGAATGAGCGTGTGTGTGTGTGTGTGTGCACGCGCGCGCGTGTGTGGATGTGTGTGTGTGTGCGTGCGCGCGTGTGTGTGTGAATGTGTGTGTGTGTGTGTGTGTGTGTGTGTGTGTGTGTGTGTGTGTGTGTGTGTGCGTGTATGTGAGAAAAGGGACAGAGTGTGGGTGTGAGCATGTGTGGATTTGGCATTTAAGTCCCCAGCTCTATTCTATATCATTTACGCTGAAACTGCTGCTGCATATCCCCAAGTCTGAAGACTTGGCAACTTCACGCCTGCACCTGACTCTTGCGCTATGATACACGTCGCATATGATACGCTTCAAAATTTCCCACCTTACTCCCCCTTATGTTCAGGCTGCCCGTTTTGGAGCGATCAGTTGCCTGACGATCGTAGTAATACGGGAAACTCAGAGTTGTGACAAAGCTTCCAATCTCTCTTGTAATACAGAAATACCTATATTCTGCCTGTGACTACTCACAGAGAAAGAGTGGTCGCAACTGTACATTCCGCATATAACTGTTCGCTTGGAATTATAGTGGTCACAACTGTTTTCTGTGACCGCTCAAAGGGAATTATAGTTTCCACAACAAATCCTGCAGTACGAAGCACTTCGCGAGCAGTCATGAAATGTGTGCTTTACACATGTACATGTATGGTGATTTGTGACTGGTCATGGGGCATTGTGACTGGTAAACTAATTTGTGACTGGTCATGGGGAGTTTGTGACTGTTTGACTGGTCACGGGGACCGTGATTGGTCATGGGGCCTTGACTGGTCACTGAGTCCTACATATATACTCTTGCTGTTACGTAGTGTATGGCTACAGAACGGAAGCTATACACGCAACACGGCTAGCCGAGCCGAAAGTAGGTTGTCATCCTGGGTCGAAAATCTTCCGGTATTCAATAAAGAGCCCCATATTAGGATAACACAAATGAGCCTGGGTTTTTATGAGTTTTAGCATGTACAACTAATCGTACATAGACTACTGTAAAAACGTTGCGCGTGTGTGGGTGAGATACCGGTATACAGACTTTGTACTTCGAAGTATTCACATCGTAACGCTAAAAGCTATAAAGAGCCTAGGGAGTTTATACAACTCCCCGTTTAAAGCGGAATTCACAGAAGCTTTTTGCAGAAATTTCTGGAACCAACCAAAAACACCTGTGCAAACCTACAACTTTCACCTAGTTCAACCCTATGGTTCATTTACTTTTGTACAGCTTTACAACTTTTCACCTAGCATTTACTACTAACTGGTAAGCGGCCGTCGTGAGTTCCCTTTGGGAACGGACACGATAATTTATTTCATTTATTTTTTTATCAAAAGTGGCTTGCTATGTTGTTGCCATGTGGTGATCAGGTGATCATGAAGTATAATGTATTCTACCTGCACTATGCTAGCCTCCAGATCCAGAGTTTAGTTCAGCTGAGGGGAGGGCGCGGGTAATAATTATTCATAACAGGGAACCCATGCGGTACATGTATTTTGTACACATTATGACATAGCGGCTATTTACGTCATATGCTTAGCGGTTATGTAGATAATACTCATAAATAGGACACACTTCAGCCTCTTTACGAACATCTTGAAAGTTTTTGGTTCCACAAGTATACTTTCAAGCCTTCTGATCAGGTGAAATACAGGCATGTTTGTGGACATGAGCAGGGCCTTTGACCGCGTTCAGCATAGCAAGCTCGTGCAGGAACTGGCTTCAGTTGGCGTTGAAGGTGTGGCATTGCGTTGGTTCGCAGACTACCTTACTGGGAGAACCCAGCAGGTCGTTGTCGGCGATGCCCGAGGCAGTACAGAGCCCTGCTCACGTGGTGTACCACAACTCACAAGGCTCCGTGTTAGGTCCCTTACTTTTCTGCATTTATATCCGCCGTAGATCTACCCCTCAGAAATTTCAACATTGCCGTGCTCTCCTGTTTGCGGACGACATTGCGTTCTACGTCATTAGTCGCAAGGCTTCAAACGTGCTCAGAATGCTGCAGACAGATCTCTTGAATCTGGAGGACTTCCTCAGCGAACGGGGACTGATGCTGAATCCCAAAAAGTCTCAGCTACTGCTGCTCAGACGACCTGCTGCGCACCTGGACGTGATCCCCAGCATCACCTGCAAAGGCACCGTAATCCCCGATTCCAGCCATGTTCTGTACCTTGGCCTCCTATTGGACTCGTCGCTCAGCTTCGAGCATCAGGTGGAGCGTGTGTGCGCAAAGGCACAGAGCAAGGTTGCCTCATTCCGCCACGGGCGCCGCGATGTCTCCATGACCGGCCGCCGCATGTTTTACCTGACAATTGTCCAGAGTACCTTGGACTATGCCAGCACATGTTATGTTCACTGCTTGTCTGCTAAACTCCGAGACAAACTTGGGTCAACCAGCAATAGGTGCCTAAGGCGAGTGTTTGGCCATGATCAGTATACTTCTATCGATTTCATTCTCACCAAATATAACCTGTATACTTTCTCTCGCCGTGTAAACTTGAAGCTGTTTATGTTTGTTTTTAGGACTGGTTGCACCAGTCCTCTTTAAAATTCTCTTTTTAGCACGATATTTACCCCCCCCCCCCCCGCTCTGCATCACGCCGCACAAATGCTGCTACCCGCGGTCAAGCTTCAGCCGCCCTGAACCTACCCAGCTGCAGCCACGTCTCGTTACGGCCTGAATGCTAGTTCATTTTTGGCAGCAGACAGATGGAACATGCTTCCACCTGGATGTCGTCAAGCTAAGCCCCTTTCTGCATTTGTCACAAGCACCGAGTCATTCCTAGGGTTCCCAGTAAAAAGGCAACGCCTGTTGGGAGTTCCCTAGTAAAAATAATAAATTCTGCTACTACTACTACCAGGCAAGGGGAAAGGAACAGGAACAGTGGATTAAGTACAGTAAGGAGGTGGTAAAACAGCGCAAAGGAGAAGATCGCTAAGGTAAACAGTGGGTTATGTAGAATTACTATTTTAGCACATGCTCTCACAGTAACTGAGGCTGAGTGAGTCTCACTCCCACTTTTTCAACCACTTCATTGAGGACTCTGGCTCTATAGTAGTAGAACATAGCCGTACTACATTGAATTGTGTAAAGATGGTGCTTCAACGCTCAAGACATGCTGAGATCGAGAACAATAATGGCAAAACGAGAGAGCTTGGAAGCTCAGGGCCCTACGCTATGCTTTTATGCTTTTTTGCCTAGCTCATCGTACATGTTATAAGAACTGATGGAAATGTCTTTTTCCGTTGATTGGCGACATCACTGTATTGCAAAAACGTTTCAATCGGTTTGAATATTATGAGTTAGGCAAAAGTATTTGCGGAATTTATTGCGGATTGTTATTTCTCTAATAATCATCTACTTTTGGTTTGCTCCTTCTTTTCTTTTATCTCCTTATACTGTAAATCAACAAATTTTGGCCGATGAGAAAGAGAAACCTCTCTATTAGAGAGGTTAAGATGCACGTTATTTCCGACGTGACGCGCAATTTCACGTCAAATTTGAAATCGATAGGTATTTTGCTCTCACATGCATCCATTGCTCAATCATGCATCATTTGCCTATATGACAAACTTTGGCCTGCGATTTACTTTGGCCGGTTGGTACCAAGCCGCGAAATCAGCGAAATTAAATCGCCAGCGAAAATTAGTTGATTTTTATTCAGTAATCGGATTTTCTGGTCTTCTTGTAGTAATACATGTACATTGACCTGTTGAGCCAATGACAACGCCGAATGCATGGTTGCCTGTGGAGCACATTACATAACTTTACAGTCTCCTAAAATACGTATCCTGTCCGACGGCAAAAGAGGCTGCAGATTTAGTTTTTCTGCGCGTCGACGGGATGTCTGCGATGCGAAAGTTCAGCTCGCGTTATTTGGCTCGCACGTCGAAAAATCAACGCGAGTGACCTGCTGCTCACGTCGAAAATTGGACATACACAACTTTACAGTCTCCTAAAATACGTATCCTGTCCGACGGCAAAAGAGGCTGCAGATTTAGTTTTTCTGCGCGTCGACGGGATGTCTGTCCTGACGTTTACTGGGACCGGCGCTGACTCTGCCGATCACGGGCGTTCTGGACTCGACGGGATGTCTGTCCTGACGTTTCCTTGGACCGGCTTAGACTGTGCCGATCACGGGCGTTCTGGACTCAACGGGATTTCTGTCCTGACGTTGCCTGGGACCGGCGGACTCTGCCGATCACGGGCGTTCTGGAGTCGACGGGATCTCTCTTCCGACGTTTCCTGTGACCGGCGCTGAAGCGCTCGTTCACGCTTATTTTGGAGACGACGGGATCTCTCTTCCAAAGTATGTTTATGCTGACGCATCCTATCACCTATTCGGCGTCTATTCTAATTTAATTTCCTCCTCGTCTCCCTATTTCTTTCCAAATCTCCCTCTACATCAGGGAGTCGTATACATAATACGACGAATATTGGTACGGTACGGGACAGATACAGGAGCCTGCAAATATTGTGGACAGCTGTTATGTACAATCCTGTAGAGCCTTTGTAGTCACAGATACGGGACAGATACGGGACAGATACGGGATAGCTCCAGCCGTGACACAAACAAACAAACAAACAAACAAACACCAAATTAAAGCTGTGTGGACCCTGGCTAGCGCCAGACGTTACTGAAGTAACGTCTTCTGCATAGCTACGGGAATAATGTATTTTATGTGTTTTACCTGTGTGTATAATGTTTAAAATGTTTTTTAAATTATTTTTTAATGTTGATTTTGTTCACCTCTAAAAGAAGAATCTGTGTGCGTTGTTGTTGTTGTTGATGATTGTGCAGATGGGCCATTCTTGCCGCTAAGTTCTCCCACACGAAGTCTAATCCCAAAGCAGTCTCATCGTACGTCAATCACGTCAACGCTATCAAAGTGGACGGCATAGAGTTTCCTGCAAAGGTGATGGACATCGAGTGCATTGAGAAGATGAATCCTGGTTTATTCATCAATGCGTTTGGTTACGAGAGCAAGTCCCTCTACCCTCTACGCGTTTCCGATCAACCGCAATCTGCAATCAACCTGCTGCTGTTCGGTGATGGTACCACTCAGCACTGGGTGTGGATTAAGAATATGAGTCCACAGCTCACCAATGGTGCTAATCATCGGCACTACATTTGTTTCCGGTGTCTCCATTTGTGCCGTTTGCAAGAGACTCTGGATAGGCACCTGCTTTACTGCAAGGAACATCCGATGGCACGAGTGGAGATTGGCAAGCCAGGTGCAAAAATCTGCTTCAAGAACTACCAGAAGCGACTTCCTGCACCATACGTCATATACGCTGACTGCGAGGCATTGATAGAACCCATGACGGAACCAGAGAAGATTGGGAGTTCAACGGAACAACACAATCGCCATGTCGCTTGTCCTGCAGCCTACATCGTCGTGAGGTCAGACGGTGTAGTGATCAACCGATTCGAGTATAGAGGTGAAGATGCAATGATGCACTTCCTGCTTGCTCTCGAAGAAGAGGAGGAGAGGATATGCGATGACCTCAAAGACCCAGCAGTGATGATCATCAATGCCGTGCAGGAAGCAGAGTTCGATGCCGCAACAAAGTGTTGGATCTGTGACAGACCACTCAACGACGATAGAGTTCGCGATCACTGTCATGTAACAGGTGCATACCGCGGACCAGCACACAGCAGATGCAACCTTATGCTGCGTATCGTGCCATATAAAACCAAGATACTAGTATTCCTCCACAACTTGAAGGGCTACGACTCGCATCACATCATCTCTCAATTGGGAAGAATGTCATGTGATGAGAAGACGTATGAGGATAAGAATGGAAAAGAGAGGGTGAGTGCTATCGTAATCATTTCAGATGGTGTTAAAAACTTTTAGGATCAAGCCACTGTCGAACATTCTCTTTTCCATGAATATGGATATGTGTTAGTGAGATAAAAAATAAAATAAAAATGGTGTGATGATGTCATCTTCCACTAACTGAATATTTTGTTTCTCCCTCTTCTCTTTGTCAACGTGTGCTTGCAGACGAGGAAGCTCGGTGCTATAACCATTATCCCGACCAACAGCGAGAAATACATCACCTTCGGATGGCGTCAGTATCAGTTCGTTGACAGCCTAGCATTCCTGAACGCATCGTTGGAACGGCTTTTGAACGTCACCCCTGCAGATAAATTCAAGATCCTGAGCGACACCTTTCCAAGCCCGTTAGAATGTGATCTGGTTCGACAGAAGGGAATCTACCCATACGAGCACATGAAGACGTTTGAAAGCTTCGAGGAACTCGAGCTACCATCAAAAGAAGCCTTCCATTCTTCCCTGACGGGGAAGGATATAACGGATGCAGAGTATGCGCATGCTCAACGAGTCTGGTCTACATTCGGATGTGAAGACATGGGCGATTACCATGACCTTTACCTGAAGACTGACGTTCTCCTGTTGGCCGATGTTTTCGAGAACTTTCGTAAAACAGCGTACGACACGTATGGATTGGATCCTGCAAACTATCTTACACTGCCTGGACTTGCCTGGGACGCACTCCTGAAGCTCCCCAAGGTCTCGCTGGATGAGATCAGTGACATCGACGTCTACAACTTCATCGAGCATGGGAAGAGGGGTGGTATCAGCATGGCATCCAACAGATGGACAGTCGCCAACAATCACTACCTGCAGGATTATGATGCAAGTCAACCCAGCACGTACATCACGTACCTGGATGCCAACAATCTCTACGGATGGTCTATGATGCAACCACTGACTGTTGGGGGATTCAACTTCCTAAACCCGAACGACCAGTTGATTGACGATATACTACAACATCCAGCAGATGCACCAAGAGGCTATATGGTTGAGTGTGACCTCAGGATTCCAGAGATGTTACACCACTATTTCAATGACTATCCATTGGCTCCGGATCGCTTCACAGTCAGCCGGGATATGCTGTCACCACATCAAAGGGAGCTGGCGGACAAGTTGAAGGTATGTGTGGGTCACCCCTTTGTTGATGATGATGTTGCTGTTGTTGTTGTTGTTGTTGTTGTTGTTGTTGTTGTTGTTGTTGTTGTTGTTGTTGTTGTTGTTGTTGTTGTTGTTGTTGTTGTTGTTGTTGTTGTTGTTGTTGTTGTTGTTGTTGTTGTTGTTGTTGTTGTTGTTGTTGTTGTTGTTGTTGTTGTTGTTGTTGTTGTTGTTGTTGTTGTTGTTGTTGTTGTTGTTGTTGTTGTTGTTGTTGTTGTTGTTGTTGTTGTTGTTGTTGTTGTTGTTGTTGTTGTTGTTGTTGTTGTTGTTGTTGTTGTTGTTGTTGTTGTTGTTGTTGTTGTTGTTGTTGTTGTTGTTGTTGTTGTTGTTGTTGTTGTTGTTGTTGTTGTTGTTGTTGTTGTTGTTGTTGTTGTTGTTGTTGTTGTTGTTGTTGTTGTTGTTGTTGTTGTTGTTGTTGTTGTTGTTGTTGTTGTTGTTGTTGTTGTTGTTGTTGTTGTTGTTGTTGTTGTTGTTGTTGTTGTTGTTGTTGTTGTTGTTGTTGTTGTTGTTGTTGTTGTTGTTGTTGTTGTTGTTGTTGTTGTTGTTGTTGTTGTTGTTGTTGTTGTTGTTGTTGTTGTTGTTGTTGTTGTTGTTGTTGTTGTTGTTGTTGTTGTTGTTGTTGTTGTTGTTGTTGTTGTTGGTGGTGTTGTTGGTGGTGTTGGTGTTGTTGGTGTTGCTGTTGCTGTTGCTGTTGCTGTTGCTGTTGCTGTTGCTGTTGCTGTTGCTGTTGCTGTTGCTGTTGCTGTGGCTGTTGCTGTTGCTGTTGCTGTTGCTGTTGCTGTTGCTGTTGCTGTTGCTGTTGCTGTTGCTGTTGCTGTTGCTGTTGCTGTTGCTGTTGCTGTTGCTGTTGTTGTTGTTGTTGTTGTTGTTGTTGTTGTTGTTGTTGTTGTTGTTGTTGTTGTTGTTGTTGTTGTTGTTGTTGTTGTTGTTGTTGTTGTTGTTGGTGTTGTTGTTGTCCATGATGATGATGGTGCTGCTACTGTTGTTGTTGATGTATATGATGGTGTTGCTAACCCCTCACTGTTTCCTTTTTTCTTTTCTTTTTTCTTTTTCTCCGATTGAATTCCCTGTCATTCAGGTCATCGGTTTGGAAGCCACAAAGCTCGTTCCCAACCTCCTGCCCAAGAAACACTATGTCCTACACTATAGGAATTTGCAACAGTACGTTTCGCTTGGTGTTGAAGGGACTGATGTGCATCGTGTTCTCTCTTTCCGACAAGAACCGTGGATGCCTTCTTATATTGAGAAGAACACTGATCTCCGAAGGATGGCAACATCGGAGTTTGAGAAGGATTTCTTTAAAGTAAGTAGTGTGATTTAAGAAAATTAATGGTATTGTTGAGGAGTCAATCATAGCGTTGCTGTATTATTGAGAATACCTATCTTCTTGCATATCTTTACATATATGGAGATTGAGGGTATATCTATTTATTATACATCTGTTGTTGTTGTGTGTGTGTGTGTGTGTACGGTCTGTTCACGCACAGCTTATGAATAACTCGGTCTACGGTAAGACCATGGAGAACGTAAGGAATCGCATCAACCTGTGTGTGATGAGAGCAACGGAAGAGGAAGATCGTCTGAAGCGTCGAATCAACAAGCCATCATACATACGAAGCGTTGTCTTTGATAACGATCTCGTATCGGTTGAATGTTCAAGAGAGAAGGTCACGCTATCGAAACCCGTGTACGTGGGTGCAGCCATTTTGGACATGTCCAAACTGCTAATGTACGACTTCTACTATGGAACGCTCAAGCCGCGCTACAACGATAAGTTACACCTACTCTATACTGATACCGATAGTCTGGTGCTCTCCGTGGAAACCGATGATCTGTACGCTGACATGAAGCAGGATATTGATGTTTACGACACAACAAACTATTCCGAGGATCATCCACTGTACACTACTGTGAACAAGAAGGTCGTCGGAAAGTTTAAGGACGAGTTGGGTGGTGAGCCGATATGTGAGTTTGTGGCACTCCGCAGCATAATGTACGCCTATGAGTGTGCAGGAGGCAGCAGCGGCAAACGAGCCAAGGGTGTACAACGTGATGTTGTGAAGTCAAGCATCACGATCGCTGACTACCGCTCATGTCTCACGGAAGAGACACAAGTCATGAGAACCATGAACGTGTTGCGGAGTCCTAAGCATCGAGTGCATGGCGAAAGGATCCACAAGATAGCTCTCAGCGGCTTCGACAGCAAGAAGTTCATCTTGGAAGATGGTGTTCACACACTGGCTTTTGGGCATAAAGACATTGCCGCACATTCATGATTAGCATCGAGATTTATTGATGGTACACACACAGACACACACACACACACACACGCACACACACACACACACACATTCATGATCGTTGATGGATAGCTTCTCATGAACTCCATCAGTTTGTACATAGCACTCAATCATTTCATTTTTTATTTTTCGATATGAATGACATTGTGAATCATGATCTAAGACTGTTCACATCCTTCTTTGTGAGCCAGGTATTGAATTTATTATCTGTGTAGCCTTTCCATTGCACAAGACGTTGATCCTTGTTGTATTTCAGCACCTTATCGAATCTCAAACCGGTCTCTCTGGCGTGTTGCAGTTCTGCTTCGTAAAACGATCCGATGATGTGTTCTCCCATCAGATCACGAATCCTGTAGGTGTGTGGTGATGTTGGTAGGATTTCATCCACCCTGAATACTTCCTCCAACCAGTTCGCAGTGTAGCCCTTCTCAAAATGACGTTTAGATACGGTTAGGCGCACCTCATCACCCACTTGGAACTTGGGTTTTGACTGCAGGGGGTCTTGTTGATTTGCATCTTTTGGTATTCTACCGTTCGATGCTTCGTTAGGTGTCATCCCAATGCTTCTATGCTTTGACTGGTTGTAGCGGTCTAGTAGTTGAGGTAGGACGTTGAGGTACGTGTTCGTGGATTTCTCTGTAAAGTGACGCCACATTCTTGCCTTCAACGTTCTATTGAAGCGCTCGACCACCACCGCTTTACCTTCGTTGTGGGTGCTGTACATGATGACGTTGTGTTGTGATAACCATCGTTTCATGGGGGAATTGTAGAATTCCTTGCCTTCGTCTACCCAGAGTTTTAACGGTGTCCTTCCGGATGTACTGACGATCTTATCGAACGCATCTCTCACGGCGGTACCCGTCTTCGCTTTCAAAGGTATTGCCCAGGCATAGCGGCAGTCGATGACTGTTAGCAGGATTTTGATGTTTTTATTGCTTCGGGCAAACCGTTGCATATCCACGAGATATACACTCCATATTTGGTCAATTGCTCTGCTCTTGACCTTGCGTCTTTTGAAATGCACTCGTCTGGACTTGTGCAATTCGTTAGCCAGTTTCGTATGGAACGGTGCGGGTTGTGTCTTCTTCTTCCGTCTTCCATCATGAATTGCCTTTTGCACTTTGTTGTCCCACAAGGCTCCAGCATGGCTTTGAGTGGGCTACCGTAGATCTACACGAAGATCTACCAATAGGCAATACCATGACAATTGATTTATTATTTTATTATATATATTTGAGGATTTCCCAAAGACGTAGTCTAAATTGAAGGGAGTTCAATTATAATGGGAGGCTGTAGGGTTTAGATAGCAGACAGTGGAGGGCTAATAATTCGTAATGAACAGCCTAGCAAGAGAAATACAATTATGCTGAATGTTCCAGAATGGTCCTTTAATCAATGATACCTATAGCCTCGGGGTATGCCTTGAAATACGAAATGTACCGAAACAGAAACACAAAAATTAATAAGAATAAGCGCAACACACAAAGAAGGAGGACAGAGGCATGTCAGTGCGGAGTGGCATTGTGTTTGGTGTCAGAGAAGTGTGTGCAAATGTGACTGTGAAACAGGGACTGCGAGGCTGTGGCTCTCAGGTCTGCGGGCAAGGCATTTCAGACAGTAGCGGTGCGGAAGAGAAATGACCTCCCGGCGTGTTTCCCAACCCGTGGCAGAGTGAATGCGAGTTGGCGGCGGCGACTACGCGTGGGGCAGTATCCCGCTGCTTCAAAAAGTTCTGGTTGGGTGGTGACCAAATGGAAGAATTCCATAAGGCAGGCGATCTTCCTGCGCCAGGATAGACTTGGCCACCCCAGCTGTTTAAACAATGATGACTTGGGCTCGTCTGATGGGCAAGGGCATCTCTCAAGCCGCATGACTGTGCGAGCTACTCTGGCTTGCAGCCGTTCAAGGGTGAGCCGCTGTGCAGCAGAGAGGGAGGACTCCCATACTGGGGCGGCGTATTCTGCTGTGGGGCGGACATACGTAAGGTACAGCTTCCTGACGATGTCTCCTGTTAAACGGTCAGCCATATGGCACAGAAGAACGCAGCGCTGTCTAAACTTGCTTATTGTCTGTTCAATATGCTCCTGGAAGCTAAGTGTTTCAGTCAACAACACTCCCAGGTGACTGGTTGACGGCTGGATACCGCGGATGGTCTCTGCAGCTCCTTCCTCAGCGAATGAGATAACAACGGTTTTCGATGGGTTGAAGGTTCCGCCTACTCGGTCGGCCCAGGCAAATGTGTCCTGCAGGGCCGTCTCCATTGGGCTGGTACCTTTGGTTCGTGCTTGGCCGACGGCGGTGTCATCCGCGAACAGGTAAACATCAGCGTGCTGGTTGCGTTTCGAGGCTCTGGGTAGGCTGTTGATATGTACCAGGAAAAGCAATGGCCCGAGGTGGGAACCCTGGGGTACTCCAGACTGACAGGACGTGGGGAGGACAAATGGTGTTGGACGCGGACGCTGAATGTACGCGTATCGAGGTAGTTCTTAAACCAACTCGTAGCCGGAGCATCGCAGATAGTCCCGAGTTGCTGGAGAAGCACGTCATGCGGCACTTTATCGAAGGCCTTCGCAAAATCGAGAAATGCAGCATCGTAAGGGATGCGTTTATCCATGGTCGATGCGATCTTAGTAGTGAGCTGTATCAGCTGGTCAACTGTGGAGCGATCACGGACAAAGCCGAACTGTTCCGGGACAATGATGTTGTTGACCTCGAGATAGTGACCGAATTTGGTGGCGACAATCTTGTCTAGTGCTTTTGCAATAGCTGAGAGTAGGGTTATAGGGCGGTAGTTGGAGGGATCACACGGGTTACCTTTATTTTTAAATATGGGGATTACTGTTCCCAGCTTCCAGGCACTAGGAAACTCACCTAAGGTGAGGCTAGCGTTAAACAGGTTGGTAACAGAGGACGTTATACAAGGTGCGATCTCTCGGAGGATCCTGTTCGAGATGTTCCCGCCTGTTGCCTTATGCTGCGGGAGCCTTCGGAGCACCCGGTACACTGAGGATTCGGCCAAGACTGGCAGAGAGAATAATTCATTCGGACAGTCGTCGGCTGGTGCTGGTATTGGACCTGTACCGTGAGCAGGAGTGCACTGGCGCTCAAATACCTTCGCGAGCATTTCTGCTTTCTCTGGTTCGCTCTGTGCCGTGTAGCCCTCACACGTTAGGTCAGGAACTTGATCTTTCTTACAGGATATGTTGGCAAGTGTCTTGGCTTTCTTCCACCAAAGGTGGGCATCTTGCTCATCGTGAATATTCTCACTGAGGCGCTTGAAGTACAGGGTCTTGGCATTTCTTAACTGGTTCTGATATGCATTCCTCTGGGCCTTGTAGGTTAACCAGTATGCTACTGTTTGGTGGCGCTTGGCGGCACGGAAAAGGCGCTGCTTCTGGCGATGAAGGTGATGCAGATGCGGGGTGAACCAAGGCTTGGTTTGCTGTCTTCGAGATGAAACTCGTCTGTACGCTAAGCAGCTGGCAATGGCTTGTGTGATGCATGACTCCCATGCCCACCACGCACTCTCGATGGTGGAAGCACCGAGCATACACTCCCGGAGTGGAAGAGATGAAAGTTTCTGTCGTAGAGATTGAAAGTCAGTGTTCGCGTAGTCTGGTACAAAGCGGGGCGGCGGGTGCTTTGGGGTGTGCTTTCCTGAGAGATATTTAAAGATTATGGGACAGTGGTCTGATAGCGGATCTAGGACTTCAAGGTCGGATATACGATGCTCTGCGTCTGTGATAACCAGGTCGAGAAGTGTTGACTGGCTACCCGTAGCTGAGTATCGCGTTGCGGTGTTTCGGACAATTTGCTGTAGTGCAAGGTCGTCTAACAATCCTGCTAGCTGTTTGCTCTCTGCCGTATCAACATCTGTTGCGTTCCACTGTCGGAGTTTGGCATTGAAATCACCGAGAATGACTGTCGTGCCTGAGGCTGACAGTGCGTTGGCAATGGTGGACTGGAAGAACACAAAAAAAGTCGTGTTTTTCTGCTGATGATCGGTGAGGGGGCCTGTAAAACATGTGGAATGTATTCTTTCGACTGTTCTGCGATTCTATAAATTCCACGCAAATGTGCTCCAGTTTGCATTCAAGGTCGGTCCGCCGTTGGAAATGGCACATAAGCGACTGTCGAATATAAACAGCAAGTCCTCCGCCTATCGCGGAGTGTCGGGCACCGTCTCTATCTTTAGGCAGGAGGCTGTATCCGGGAATTGAGATGGCTGCATCCGGCAGTGATTGGTAGAACCACGTCTCACAGAGGAATAGGAGGTCAAGGGACGCAGTGTGTAGTAGCGACTCAATGACTGGGATCTTATGAGTGGCGCTTTGGCAGTTGAGTTGGCCTATCCTAAGGTGGAATGAATGTGTTATGGGCGTGTAGGGTGGATGGCTAGATGTCACATCAGCAAGAAGGGCAGGGAGGGGTTCTGCATCGTGAGTAGGATATATACTGGTAGGCCTGGTTAGATTTGACTTAGAGGGGAAAAAGCTGGGTGCTAGGGGATTAAGAGACGCCATTTGTAAGAGTGTCGGCAGAATCAGCACAGTAGTGGAATACAGATTGATATGAGCAAAAATGTTCCTGACCACTATTACTAGGATGCTTACTTGCTCAAGTGCCGTTGATGCCTTGCGGCTACTCGTTTGGCAACATCGGCCATCTCTTTCGCGCCGGCCTGCTTTGCCCATTGCTGTTGTATGTCGACATTGAATGCTGGCTGCTGCTCGGGGGTCAGCTGGGTGGGGGTCAGGACATGGGGTGCGAAGGTGTGCTTTCCCGATGCTAGGGTAAAACCTTCTTCATCTGGAGATGAGTGGGCGGCTTTACCTCGGGATGGTGGTGGCAGCGATGGAGCAACAGGTGTAGAGGCCTGCTGCTGTTGCTGCTGCAGCCCTTGGGGAGGATTGGCTGAGTCCACAGATGATTGTTGTTCATCTTGCACGGACCGGCTTTCCTGGGGCAGAGACTCA